CTAAGAGCATTAATTAATGATTAAAAATTATGTGTATTTTGTTTATTTGTGTGATGTGATAGAATTTATTATATAAGAAGATTAAATATAACGAAGGAATAAAATTTATTTGGTAAAAATTTGTTGTTAGAACTTAGAAGGAATAAGAAAGACCACGTTCTCTCTAAAAGGAAAAGCTTCATGATCGCTGAATTAAATCACGTGCTCGGGCCGATGCAAGACAAAGTACTTTGTTGTTGTTGAAAATGGAAGACAAAGCAAATTAACTTTATTTAGTGGGTGAGTAACAATGTAATGTTCTATAAAATAACCTATACATTTTCTTATCCAAAAAACATGGCATATCACTTATAAAACAACAATCATGAATAAAAATTAAAATAAATTTGTCATATATATATATCACTTTGATATGTACATAAATAAGTTTTTTAGAGTACTTGTGAAATATAGTTTTTTAAATAAACTATATTCCGAGTATTATCACGTTGGCGACAAATAAAGACAAAATTTAAAATAAAATAGAACCTTAGATATTTTCAGATTATAGTATTGTCTTGTAGCGGGGAGCAGAGAGAAAATAACTGATATGGACAAAATGCCTCAATTAAATCACCGACACTTTTAACTGAAATACTACCAAACGTTTCACTGAATGCATCCACATTTTTTGTGTGTGAATGAAAAGTTGTTAGTAGCAAAGGAAGTAACGGACTTGACTTTTGGTGAAGGAGACATATCAAATAATGTTTTGAGTGAGAGAGTGGTATATCTTAGATATTGTATATTAAAATTTTGAGTTTTTGTTTATTTTTTGAAAAAATAAACTTAAAATGTAAATGAAAACAAAATAAAATTTAAAGTTCAATTTTATTTTTGAAAAAATAAACTAGTAGAAACTTCAAAATCATTGATTGGTTTATTTGTTATTAACTTATTTTTTTTTTTCAATTTTTCATTTTTCATTTTACCCTTTTGTGATATTATAAAAAAATTTAATACAATTTGACATTTGTGTATTATTTAACTTGTGAATTATGTAATTTAAGTTTAACAACATTTATTTATTTATGTGTATGTTGTTTTTTTAATATTGATATTGGTTTTTATATTGTATTTTACTTTAATATATTTATTAGTCTTTGTTATGCAATATTAAAAATTTAAAAAATTATTATGATGATAAATATTTAAAAAATGTATATTTAAAAATAGTGTAAAAACAACCAAAATAATCATAACATAAATAAATAAATTTATACATTTTTCTGTAATTTACTAGGTAAAAAAAATCATTCTACCTTATTCAAACAAAACACGTTAATTTATATTCAGTTTTCAATTAAAAACTTAAAATACTCAAACATAAACAAATTATTATAATTTTAATAAATTATAAGATCACAGTTTATAATATCAAAGTTTACAAACTAAAACAAAAAATTATGTACATGTTAATTAATAAAAAGGAATGATTTATTTTTAATACAAAATCACTTATACTTTTTTCCATTTTATACCCAAGCATACAAGTTAATTGGAAATAGTGAATATAACCAATTGTAAAATATCTAAAATATAAAAAAAAAATTATTTAACTCATTTTATCATTTCAAATCAAATAAGACAAACATGCCATAACTGAGTTTATAGATAAAATTGGTAATAGAAAACCAAAAGTAACAATTAAAATATAAATAAACCTACATAATTATATCAAAATTTTGAAATAACATATTAATTTAAATCAATAAAAAATAGTTATATAAAAAATTATTATGTATTATGTTGAAAGAATATATCATTTTCACCTCCATGTATAAGGGTATTTGTATAAAAATAGTAAAAGAAGTAGAGAGAGGGAATAAAAAACCTTTAACAAATGTTCTCTACTTTTCAATATCTTTGCAGCACCCATAAGCATAGCCACATGTGCATCGTGCCCACAAGCATGCATTTTACCAGCAACTTTAGACTTGTACTTCAATTCCACAGCTTCCTAAAACAAATCCCCAATATTACATATTACATGAGATGGATTTCCATTTTCATGAAAATTAAACTATCAACTATTCTAAAACTAAGTTCTGACGAACATGAAAAGGAACTAGTAACTTAATCAGAGATCTTTTTTACTTTCTTTTTGGCTCTTCGATCCTTTTGTTTGTAAAGAACTATAAAGGTGGAATGCATTTGAAGTGAATCACTTGTAGTATTATTAAAAATCGTATGATTTAAAGCATTAGTACTCTCTAGCTACAACAGAGTGCAACCACCTTTTCTCCAACATTCAAAGAATGGGTTTTTCGGATTTATCACACAAAATAAAAAGCACACATGCAGTCTAATACATTGTGTATTAATGCTTCTCATGGACCAAAAATCAACTGAGAAAACAAACAGAAAAAGATTCTGAATATTTTTTTGAGACATATATGTCAGCTGACTTGACTGACATGACTTCACAAAACTAATAACTATTTCAATTTAATATAAAAAATATTATAATTTATCAAGTATCCAAGTTAATATAAAAATGATAATTGAAAAAAGTTGTTGAACTCACATAAAATAATAATAATCATTTAACTAACGAGGTTTTTTTTATGAAATATCACGACACTAATCTAATTGACTAATTTTTCAAATCTAAAAAACACATTCTTAGCCACAAAGTCAAATAAGGAAGTAGTTAAAGTATTTTAAATTGTTATTAAAGTCAGGATTTCGTTTACGGTTGTCATTAATATATTTGTAGTTATTGCAACTGAATTGTCATGTAAATTATTCTACGATTTAAAAAGAAATTAGATTTGATGTGACTCAAATCCGATCCAATGTAATACAATACAGTCGTATCATTGTGATACATTCGTGAGAATAACTAAAATCATATATCGGTGATATACAAATTAATCAAATGGAAAGTGAAAACCCTAATTAATATACAATTTTTGTTTTGAAATGTTTTCAATTTGGCATCGTATAAAATAAAAGTAGATATGCGTATGATAGATGTAAAATGGTGAAAGTAGAAGAACAAACCTGGATAGGAAGCGCATCCATGTCAGCTCTAATGGCAACAAAAGGAGGACCACCAGTTCCGATCCAAGCACGAATACCAGTCTTCGCTAGCGGATACCGATAACTAATTTTCATCATATCCAACTCTTTTCTTATTAAACCACTCGTTTCGATTTCTTCAAATGCTAGTTCCGGATTTTCATGAATCCTTCTTCTTATCTTTCTTATCCACTCTACCATCTCCGGCGACCGCGCCATGCTCAGAACCGCCTCCGAACACTCCTTGCTCCACACCTCACAATCCGTCCCCGTTGCCGGTGTTGCTATCGCCGTGTTGTTGTTTTTGAAGGAGGATGGAGAGACGCATTGTTTTTTGTCGTTGCATGTTTGATCGGAGTATATGGCGCCGTCGAAGGTGGCGGAATTTAACTTATTGGCGAGCGACACCGTGGTGAGAACGGTTAATAAGAAAAAGATCGATGAGGTTTGAATTTTCATTTTAGTTATGAAGTTGGAAGAGAAGAAGAGTGGAGGGTGGGAGTGAAATATAAATAGTGGAAAAGGAAGAGAGATTATGGAGAGAGAAAATGAATGATGGATAATTTAAACACGTGGGGGATAATTACACTGAAAAATTGGATGGAATTTTATTTTATTTTTATTTGCTTCGGATTGTGGTTAATGAATTGGAACACGTGCGCAAAACATGTTAAAAGCCTTGTGGACCGCTTCCCATTTAGGGATGACAATGAGTTTGGATCGGTCCGGATAGTGCATTGCCTAGATCTTCCCCACTGTTTTGTTTTTGGACCCAGACCTGCCCCAGACCCATGCTAATATCCGCTAGGTATACTACATGCGGGTCCTTGGATACCCAACGGATCCATGTGTACCCATAAATTAAAAAATATTAATAATAATTGCAAATAATTTATGCATTTGTATATTTATTTCATACGATCTTATATGTTATTTAGACAATTAACAATAGAAAAAATTATATGATCTTATATGTTGTTTAGACTATTAAACACAAATCATTTTACTATACCAAACATTAAAAATAACTTAAACATTAGGATGAAAAATTCATTTAGTATGAACTCTTCGATTAACATAACATTACATCATACATATGAATTAACAACATAACATCATTGTTTAACAACATAGCATCACAATTATGAATTAATATGATATTATAATTATGGATTAATGTGATATTACAATATAGATTAACATGATATTACAATTAGGTTGTTATATATATAGGAAAAAATAGCAGGTTCGGGTACCTACGGGTCTGGATACCTTATTACCCAGACCCAGACCCATCTAATAGTGAATCTTAAAATTGCGGGTCTCAATTACTCATGGGTCCAAAACATGGACCGAAACCCGACCCGTTGCGGATATTTTTTGCGGGCACCCGCGGATCCGGGTACGCATTGCCATCCTTATCCCCATTTCTTGTGTGCGGAATGAGAAATAACTGTGTAGAGACATATATATGTAGAGACAATTGTTATGAATGATAAACAAAATGTGGCAAATGAAATGCATGGTAATACAGTTACACAGATGGGACACGTGTATGGTGGAGAGGAAATCAAGCTGAGTCGTAGAAGTGAGAGAAAGAAGGCCACCAGCAAGGCATTGAAAGATTACAGGAAATGAAGTAATGATATAAGGGGACAAAATGACGAAAAGAAAAACAAGGAAAAAAAGCTAAGTGTCTCATCCTTCCTCTGGCCCATTCCTTGGGACTCTTACTTCTTCCATCACTTTCTTATTTCTATATCTTTTATTACTAAATTCTTGTACTAACTATCACTATTCAGTGTTAGTTTTCTTCATTGTAAGAAACCCATATTATAAATAACACACAGTACAATATATATTTACTTTAAGTTCAGTGCATGATAAATTCTTGTCTATGACTTCCCTTACAATTGGTGCTTTCATTCTCCACCATGGCTGAGAATACTCGCATGAAGGAGCTGGATTCTAACGTCAAGAAGATCTTGGAGCTCATGGGAAAACGAGATCAAGATTACAATGACCGATTTACACAAATCGAAACAGCTCTAGCAACCTTTTCCATGGCTGGCTCGAACTCAAGTGCGACAATGGGGAACTCACAACCATTTCAGGTAAGAAACATCAAATTGGATTTTCCACGTTTTGATGGTTCTAATGTGCTACAATGGATCTTCAAGGTTGAACAATTTTTTGAATATTACTCTACTCCGGATCCACAACGTTTAACAATTGCTTCGGTACATTTGGACAAGGATGTGGTTCCATGGTTCCAGATGATGAGTAAGCATAATCCCTTTCATTCATGGGATGCGTTTACTAGAGCATTAGAGCTAGAATTTGGTCCCTCTCCCTTTGAATGTCCACGTTCCACATTGTTTAAGTTGTCCCAAAGGGGATCAGTTAATGCAAATTATCTTGAATTTACTGCTTTGTCTAACAGAGTTTCCGGCATTTCGGTGGATGCTCTACTTGATTGCTTCATTAGTGGGTTAAAACCGGATATACGACGTGATGTAATTGCCCAAGATCCTCATTCTCTACTTAAAGTAGTGGTACTTGCTAAATTGTATGAAGAAAAATATAACTGCCCCAATAAACCATATTTTCCCATACACTATTCCAGACAACCTCACCCAAATATAGTCCCAAACACAAACCATAAAACCACCTTACTCTCTGCCATCCTACCCACACCATCTCATAAACCCTTTACCCAACCACTCAAACCATCTAATATAAAAAAAATATCCCCAGCTGAAATGCAATTAAGACACGACAAAGGCCTTTGTTACATTTGTGATGAAAAATTTTCCCCCACTCATCGTTGCCTAAACAAACAGTACTTATTCCTCCAAGTGGAAGATTTAGATGACCCAATGTTAGAAATAGATCCACCTGACTCAGCTTTAGCATCAAAGGCACAGTTACACCCTGAACACCATATATCCTTCAATGCACTCAATGGGTCTCCTAGAGTAGGTACAATGCGATTCCAAGGCTCTATTAATGGTGTCACAGTACAAATTTTGCTTGATAGTGGGAGTTCAGACAACTTCTTACAACCCCGCTTAGCCCACTACTTAAAATTACCTATCGAGCCCACTCCTAGCTTTCAAGTAATGGTGGGTAATGGAAATTCCTTAATGGTTTAAGGGTTGGTCAAAGATGTCAAAGTCTCAGTACAAGGCCATACTATCCGGTTACCAGTCTATTTGCTTCCGATTTCAGGCACATATGTTGTTTTAGGGGCTGCTTGGCTTGCTACTTTGGGCCCCTATGTTTCGGATTATAGTGCCTTAACATTGAGATTCTACTTGGATGGGGAATTTATTACATTGCAGGGTGTCAAATCACACTTACCTAGTCAAGCTCAATTTCACCACATTAAAAGAATGTGTAACACTCGCGCAATTGCAGAATTTTATGCTGTCCAATTTCTGTCACAAGATGTGCCTCAAGACCAAAAGCTGGACTTACCTAGTGACATTCAGCCGGATTTGTCCTTGTTATTGTACTCTTACATAAAGGTATTTGACAAACCAACTGGGTTACCTCCGGACAGATCCAATGATCATGTTATTCCCTTAATTCCGGGTAGCGAACAAGTTAAGGTTCGTCCTTATTGGTACCCTCATAGCCAGAAAGCACAAATAGAGAATATGGTGGAAGAGATGTTACAAGAAAGGATTATCACCCCAAGTACTAGTCCATTCTCTTCACCAGTACTGTTAGTCAAAAAGAAAGATGGGACATAGCGTTTCTGCACTGATTATAGAGCATTAAACACCATCACCATTAAGGACAATTTTCCAATTCCCATTGTGGATGAGCTACTTGATGAACTATTTGGAGCCAAATATTTCTCTAAGTTGGACCTTCGTTCTGGATACCATCAGCTACTGGTTTCTCCGGAAGACAGGTATAAAACAGCATTTCGGACACACCAAGGTCATTATGAATGGTTGGTCATGCCATTTGGTCTCACCAATGCTCCAGCCACTTTTCAAAGTTTGATGAATTCCGTTTTTCAAGGGTTACTTAGAAAGTCAGTGTTAGTTTTTTTTTACAACATACTAGTTTATAGCCCTTCATGGTCTGCCCACTTACAAGACTTAGGAAATGTTCTGCACATACTTCAACAGCAACACTTGTTTGCCAAGTTATATAAATGTCAATTTGGGTTAGAGAAGATAGACTATTTGGGTCATACGGTATCAGGTAATGGGATGGTCATGAATCAAAATAAAATAAAAGCTGTTTTGGATTGGAAACTACCAAAAACCCTTAAACAACTTTGAGGGTTTCTTGGTCTCACTGGTTACTATCGCCGATTTATTAAGGGGTATGCGGCTATAGCATCCCCATTAACGAATCTTTTGAAGAAGGACAACTTCCATTGGGATTCCACAGCTAATGCAGCCTTCCAACAATTAAAGCGGACAATTATAGAGGCCCCAGTTTTGACACTTCCAAACTTTACAAAAAAATTCATCTTGGACATTGACGCCTCTGGCACTGGAATTGGTGCTGTTCTTAGTCAAGACCACCATCCCATTGTTTTTTTCTCCAAGAAGTTGTCTCTAGGAATGCAGAAACAATCCGCCTATGTGAGGGAATTCTATGCCATTACATAAGCAATAGCTAAATTCTGTCATTACCTGTTGGGACATAAGTTCATTATCAAGACAGACCAAAAGAGTTTGTGCAGCCTTACTGATCAAGTCATACAAACTCCTGAGCAACAAACGTGGCTTCCTAAATTCCTTGGGTATGATTTTACCATCGAATATAAATCGGGTTGTGATAATGTTGCAGCTGATGCCTTATCAAGATCTTTCTTTATGGTTATTTCAGAACCTCAGTGGGGAATTATTCCTCAGATTCGTGAAGTTGTTTCTGATGACCCCAAGCTGTCCCACATACTTGCCTCATGTACTCAAGGAAATTTCCCTCATCCACTTTATACTGTTCATGACAAATTTTTGTATTGGAAGAAGAGATTGGTTATTCCTCCCAAACATTCTCTTATTCAACAAATCCTGCACGAATTCCATACCTCCCCATTGGAGGACATGCGGGAATAGCAAGGACGATGGCTCGAGTTTCTTCTCAGTTTTATTGGCAAGGTATGCAACAGGATGTAAAAACTTTTGTTCAGCAATGTTTGATATGTCAACAAGCCAAGACCCTCACTACATCACCTACGGGGCTGCTTCAACCTCTACAAATTCCTGAGCGAATATGGGAGGATATCGCTATGGACTTTATTGTCGGTTTACCCCCTTCCAATGGCTTTACAGTGATCATGGTTGTAGTAGACCGTTTATCCAAATATGGTCATTTTGCTCCATTAAAGACTAGTTATACTAGCCACAAGGTAGCTGACATCTTTATGCAGACAATTGTTCGATTACATGGAATGCCAAAATCAATTGTCTCGGATCGTGATAAAGTTTTTACGAGCAATTTTTGGCAACAATTATTTAAGTTGAGTGGCACAACTTTGGCAATGAGCACAACATACCATCCTCAATCCGATGGTCAATCTAAGGCACTAAATAAATGCGTGGAAATGTACTTGCGTTGCTTCACGGTTGATAATCCAAAGAACTGGAGCAAGTTACTATCATGGGCTGAGTTTTGGTATAATACGTCATTTCAATCCAGCATTGGTATGACCCCTTTTAAAGCAGTTTATGGTCGTGATCCTCCCACAATCACAAAGTATTCTTTGGATCCTCAAGATCATTCATCTCTCCAAGAAGTATTGATGCAACGCGATACTGTTCTCACTAAATTAAAAATAAATGTGCTCAAGGCTCAACACCACATGAAGAAACATGCTGACAAGAAACGTTCACCAATGGAGTTTCAAATAGGGGACCTTGTTCTTGTTAAACTTCAACCCTATAGACAACATTCAGTGGCTTTACGGAAAAATCAGAAATTGGGACTCCGATACTTTGGTCCTTTTCCAGTAATACAGAAAATTGGCTTAGTTGCTTACAAGTTACTGCTACCTTCGACGGCCAAAATCCATCCGGTTTCCCATGTATCCTTGTTAAAGCCATGAAAAGGTGACCATCAACAACAATATGTTCCTCTACCACTGCTAATTGTTGATGTTGGTCCCATTATCCAACCAACCAATATACTGCAGTCTCGCATTATATTACGTGGCACTCAGCAGATTCCTCAAATTATAGTCCAATGGGAAGGTTTGGATCCAACAACCACTATTTGGGAAGATTTGTCTACCATACAAGAAGATTATCCCAACTTCAACCTTGAGGACAAGGTTGCTTCTTATGAGGGTGGAAATGTTATGAATGATAAACAAAATGTGGCAAATGAAATGAATGGTAATACAGTTACACATATGGGACATGTGTATGATGGAGAGGAAATCAAGCTGAGCCGCAGAAGTGAGAGAAAGAAGGCCACCAGCAAGGCATTGAAAGATTACATGTGGGAAATGAAGTAATGATATAAGGGGACAAAATGAGGAAAAGAAAAACAAGGAAAAAGTGTTAAGTGTCTCATCCTTCCTTTGGCCCATTCCTTGGGACTCTTTCTTCTTCCATCACTTTCTTATTTCTATATCTTTTATTAGTAAATTCATGTACTAACTATCACTATTCAGTGCTAGTTTTCTTCATTGTAAAAAACCCATATTATAAATAACACACAATACAATATATATTTACTTTAAGTTCAGTGCATTATAAATTCTTGTCTGTGACTTCCCTTACAACAATCAATAAAATTTTCTCAACATATTAAAATTTAATTTTCAATTAAAATTTGGTCATAAATGATAAAATCAAAAACCATAAATACATTTGTCTTCAAAGATGAAGTATTGTATTCTTCTTAAAAAAGTTTTTCTAGAGCCTAATAATGGGAGACACATTTACATCATTCTTCCTCAAACTTGTACTCTTCTTACTATCTAGGACGTAATGTTACATGCCTGCCATGAATCTAATTAACTTCAAATTTAATTTACTATTTAGTTAGATGAATTTATTTATGAAGTACACAAGAAGAGCTAGTGCTAATATTAATCTCATTCAATAGATTTATAAACTCAGTTTGACTTGTTGGTCTATTACTTAGCTAAATTATATATATATATATATATATATATATATATATATATATATATTAT